TCTACCGAGGACATCATTCGATTCAGAGGCAGGAAAGACGGGTTTTGAGACGTTTCTCGAAAGATGTCCATGGCCGAAGGAGTTGAATGAGGACAGTTACGGTTTTTTGGGTCGAGTGTTAGCAAGTGTGCGCTCAAACAGCAAAATTGCGCCAGAAATCTCTGCTGGAAAACTTGCAAATGCTTCGAGCAGATCTACCCGATGTTGTTGAGCGTCCACATCCATTGCATGCTTGTCCTTCTGCCCTAGCCTTTGCTCACACCATGGTGTGCCTCGCTGCTTGATCTGTCGCACACTTACACCCTCCTTCTTTGAGCAGTATCTGATCAGCTCTGTCTGGCTATAGAGCCTGCTATCCCTTGCGACTGATTGAAAGCGAAGAGCAGAATCAGGGGACCAAAGTCAAGCACATGCTTCTACAAGGCCGATAGCCGGCATCTCAACTCAGCATAATCAGCGCACAGGATGGCACCGGAGTGAAAGGAAGGCAGAGAACCATTCAGAAGCGTGCATTCACGGCAGCTTAGCGGAGTCTTCGGCTCTTGCTCGACAAGGTATCGTTTGCGCTAATCAGATAAGAATGGCTGTCATGATACTGCGTGACTCATCGGAGCTTTTTAGCACGGACTGCGGCATCAGACAAAAGCCTATTCACCCCTTCCCCGCGCTTTCAGACTGCTCGAGCTTGGCGCGCAGAAGAGGACAATGGACCGCGGAGAGAGAGAGAGAGAGAGAGCGTGAGAAAAGAGTGTCGCCAGAGAGGCGTGACAAGTCTAGGTTCTTCAGGCAAGCGAGGACGGGGCCAATCAGATAAGTTCATTCAGAATGACCGTCGCTTCAGCTAACAGAGTGCAAATTCTAATCTGATAACCAGAATTCCACAGCCGAACTGCCAGAGAAGCCTCTCGAGATCGTGAATCGAGGCACTTGGCCGGTCTCTCAAGTCCACACGGCTGACTAGCACGCGAGGAGGCACGAGGATTGCTCAGCCCTATCTCACTTTTCCTTTCCATCCTTAGCAGCTGCTATCTTCCATCATCACCTAGCAATCTGCTGAAGCTACCACCATCACACACTCTGCCCGCCATCACTAACATCAGCGACAGCTTTCACTCGTCCTGACATCTATCGCGGAAGCACCAATCCTTCGACAGTATCATTGGCGTTGATAGAGCAAATCGCTCTGGCTACTAGATCTCAGGCTACATCCAACCTCATCTACCTGCTGATCTGCTGATGCTCATTTCTCCAAACACATCACTTTAAGTATCAGCGACTAGCGTATCGCCACGTCGTCGCCAGCCATGGCATCGATACTTCCCTCCCCAGGGCCCTCCAGCTCCTCGCTAGCTGGACAACGCAAAATTGCCCAACGACCCCTAGCAGCTTCCTCATCCAATCTCAAGCCAGCTCCTTCCACCTCCAAGTCGCAATCATCACGACTTGCACCCACCGCACCTTCAGCTATCATCGCACCAGCACCACCCTCTCCATCGAATGTGAAGCCAGCGCCTCTTGCACCTGTCCTGTCCGCATCTCCATCTGTCTCGTCATCATCCCCCACCAGCACCGCTTCCATCTCCAAAAAGGACAGCACCGGTCCTCTTGTCCAGCCTTCGAAAGAATGGGTCCTTCCCGCACGAGCCAAACCTGGTCGCAAGCCATCCGAAACGGAGCCTCTCACTAAACGTAAAGCTCAGAACCGTGCCTCTCAACGGGCCTTCCGCGAGCGCAAACAGTCGTATCTCGCTGATCTTGAAGCCAAAGTTGCTGCTTACGAGGCAGCTGAGATCGATCGCAGTGTCGAGATCCAGAGAGTTGCGCAGAAGCTGAGAGCCGAGAATGAGGCTTTGCGCAAAGAAGTCGGCAGCTGGAAGGAGAAGTTCATGCAGTTGGAGAGGTTCTTGTTGCAAGCAAAGGCGAACGGCGGTAAGCTGCCCGGTATGGTCGTTACTCCTAGTGTGAAGAGTGGACCCGGATGCAAAGCACCTGCACATGAACGAGCTGCACCAAAGAAGGGCGTACTTGTGGCGCCAGGTGGAAAGGATGGGAAGTCGAAGGAGAACAGCAGCGGCGGGGTTAGGTTTGCTGATGCTGTGCAGCCTAGCACGAAGATACAGGAGGATGCTGTGATGGAGAGCAAGCAGTCTTCGGCGCCTGTTTCGGTGCCGTTGCGACGCAGACCATTCCGCTCTAACCCGACGACACCCATCGATGCGACACCGCCTGTCGAGCCTGTCGCCGATGCTCCTGTTCCCGCTGTTGCGAAGCCACTCACAGCGCGAAAAGAGCCCAAGCCTCCTCTGTGGTCCTTCGAGACTCCAAAAACGTCCTCACCACCTGCACCTCCTTCCATCACTACTACTACTGCGTCTGTAGCAGACAAACCAGCTTCTCTGCTTTCACCATCGCTCCTGCCGGATGGTGGTCACCTCTCCATCGGCGGCGGATGTGGGTTCTGCACTGAAGCCTCACCATGCGTCTGTGCAGATGACTTTCTCGATTTTCCTTCCACAGCCACCTCTTCTCAACCATCTCACATTGCCGTGCCTAGCGATGTTCCTTCCGCACTCCCTCTCCCCAAGCGCAGCTCCGCTCCTTCCTCATCCTCAAGCACATCAGAATCCTCCCGCCGAATGTCAATCGGCTCTCTTACCCACGCAAACGACATTGCTCTTTCCCACCGTAAACGGTCCAGCAAGCTCTGGTACACCGTCGCTCAACCCTCTCCTCCTTTGCCGCCTCGTTCCCTCCCTCTTTCGATCAGGTCAAAGAGCACAGGTGGGAAGAAACTCTGGTCTCTCACCGAATCCGCTCCCTCTCCCGACGAACCAGTCTGTACAGGTGATCCAAGCACATGTGGCGCATGCTCGACCGACCCCGGTCTAGCTGCTTTCTGCGAAGCCGTCACCACAGCCACTTCTACCACTCCAGCCACTTCACCAACGCGACCTGTCATGATGCCTTCTGGCACCCTTCCCATCTCTTCCACCTCTCCGTACTCCACAGCCTCCCTCAGAGGCGAGACCATCCCCTCGGCCTGGCGCCAGATACGATCGCACCCACGCTTCTCACAGTGGCAAGGCGGGCTAGACCTGCTGGCAGAGGTGGTCAGCAAGAGGAGCGGCAACGTCAAATCCCCCATGCTTCCTCATGTCGCCGTGGGAGAGAAGAGAGGCAGGGAAGCAAGTGTAGAGATTGAGCCAAGTAGGAACGGTGCTGCAGTTGCGACGAGTAACGATAGAGCCACTTCCAAACCTGTTCTCCTTCACACAGCTAGCGAGGGAACCATTCATGCTTTGCCTACAAGGGCGAAGCAGGAGGAAGGAGAGGAAGAGGAGAGGGAAGGAAAGAGGAGAAGGATCGTCATCGATCGAGAAGCAGTGCAGGAAGCGTTGGCGTTTTTGGATGCTGGTACGGCAGCTCAGCCAAGATCGAGTAGTGCGAAAGAGGAACAGCCTTGTCCTTGTCCCTGGAGGCCTGGTGATAAGCGCTCTTCTCCGCCCTGATTCTCATTCTAGCATCCGATTCATTTGGTTGCACTGTGTATGTAATGTATTGATTTCATCTTCATGAACGAGCTTTTTATGAATCAATGAAAGTGCTTACACGGAAGTCTCAAAGGAGACCAAGGAGAAGGTCTCCACCCTACACGATATCTAGCCTCCTCTCTTACGTTGGAAAGTCTCCGGGTGTCTGTGGGAAACCTGAACTCGTCCCCCCTCTCTCCTTCGAAACTATGAGTGAAAGTGAACCTGCGCAAACTCGGACTGTTCCCTCCATCTCCCGCCACTCTGCTTTCTTCGATTCCAGCTCGGCTCAATCTTGGACAATTAGGCAAGACCTCTGTCTCTTTTCCCCTCTAAACCTTCGCCGCCGCACCAATTGGCTTCTTCAGTCAAGGAGACAACCCATCACCACCTCTCATCCTTCCTCTCGGCGTGTTGACATCGATACTCACATCCAAGTATTTTTTCAACCTGAGCGAGATCAGATCCTCAGCTCCCGCAGATTTTCGTGCAGCTTCGGCGGTGAATTTAGCTTTTGTCCATAGGCCCAGATCTCTTCTCTTCCCCTCGTCCATGCGGAGCGGGGAAGTAGAAGCAGAAGGGGGAGTATTGAATCCAGTATACAAGATAAACCCGTCTTCTTGAGGAACGGAGAATCTTTCACTTCCAGCACGAGCCGATGTCGAAGTACGAGACGCTGTCTCGGAAAGGTTAGTCGAGAGTAACTTGGAGCGCAGTCGTCGGAGGACTGCTCTTAGACCTTTGCCCCAGCCGCTTGCACCGAGAAAATTGGGTGGGTGAGAAGAGAGCTCCTCAACAGCTGATGATGAAAAGCGGCCCGTTCTGACGGCTGGGGCCAAGGTAAGGAGGGCGAGGAGGAGGAGGAAGAGATGAAGAAGTCTCATTGCGAAAGATAATGAAAATATTGTTGTGTAGACAACGGGAAGCAAAGACATCCTAGCTGGTCTATATATAGCATGCAACAGATGATAGGAACGGGGCTGGTCCAACAATCGTCGGGCACCCGTACCACCTTCCATTACCAGGACCGGAGCGTGGTACGAACGAGCGGGCGATTGCGGCGAACCCCTACCGAGGTTCGGTCAGTAAAGATCAGTAATGGCTCACATCAGTACTGCCGAGAGATGAAGCCGATTAGCTGGCAAAACTAGCTCGATGCGGGATCACGTTGCAAATTGGCGCGGGCCAGGAAGACCTCCTCACCTGTACGAACTCGATCGTCGATGCTGTACACATTCAATCCAAACCTTGAGCTTACCACCATGGTAGCGATGCAAGCTGAAGGTCCGTCGAAAAGTCACCCTGAGCTGCATGCAACATCGATAGTGTTACAATCTTGTGAACTGAGATGGCTGATGCTTGACATTGGAGCTTGTGCATAAATGCTGTCGTTTGTCGATTTCCTCTGTGTGTTGTCGTGCGGTAGCCGGACATTTGTCTACACAATACTGTAATGAAACAATGTGAAATGGCCGGTTGGCCCAATGGTAAGGCGTCTGACTACGATCTTGATCGAGTGGTAAGTTATCAGGAGATTCTGGGTTCGAGCCCCAGGCTGGTCAATTCTTTTGCCAAATTTCCGCTTACACCTGTCAAATTGTGGTGGGGTTCAATTTCTTTTTTGTTTCATATGCTTCATATCACTAAATTGCTGCTGCGACTCAATTGACAGCTACTTCATGCACATCCATACCAGTGGGTTGGCTGATTAAATTTTGCTCACAGCTCCGTGAATCAATCCTAAAGCTTGGCAAAGCAGATTGACCATTATTCGAGAGGTTGCTTGGGTGAGTCATCAAAGCCGCGGCTCACGAGCAGGCGTATTGCATGAAGCGACACAGTTTAGACGCAGTGAAGACGGTGGAGGAAGGTAATCGACATTGCAGAATCATTATGAATGAACAGATAAACTCGAGGCATTGCTCGTAAGCGTTAAGGAAGAGACATTGGAAGGGAAAACAATGTCGTTGGGGTAGAAAACGACCAACCCGTAGCATCTTGAGCAGATGGCTAGTTTGAAGCGGTATGACTACTTGTTAATGGCCCCGTAGAAGCGTCGATCATCATAGTCTAGAGCCTGGATCCTTTTGTTGCCGGGCAATCCACTTCCTCTGTACGAAGGAGGCTCGCGTGGAGGAGGCTGGCTACCATCAGCCTGAGGCTCTCGCTGATGAGGTTGAGGAGGAGGAGCCTGAGGACGGGCGTTGGCAGGAGGTTGAGTAGCGCGTGTCTCATCGGCAAGACCGAGAAGACCTTCGAGGGCTTCCTCGAACTCGCTCGGAGGAGGAACGGGTGCCGAGATGACGGCAGTCACACTGAAAAGTACGAGGGAGAGGACCGTGACTTGCGGGAGAGAGAACTTCATGGTGAGTTAGTAGAGCAAGAAGTAGGGCAAGGATGTAGAGAGCTGTTTGCTTGAGATCTGATAGACAGGACGGGCGACTTTGATCTGCTTTATATCTCTTCCACCGCATTGGCCCTAGAGGTGTCGCGAAGCTGAGGAAAACCAAAGACACCCTAAGAATTGAACCCATCAAGCTGGGAACGAGCCGTAGTGATTCTCCCATCAAGCTGATTGCTACAATGGGAACAATGATTGTAACGATCGTGAAATGTATGAAGTCATCACAGTGCTTGTCCAGCCTCGACAATGGCGAAAATGATCAGAGGTTGACCCCTGCATGTTCCTCAGTATCGGGTCTTGGTAGTGCATGGATGCCACTCGTTGCGATCTTTGGTGAGACAAAGCTCACTCACAAATCGTCGAAACGTCGAGCTGACCGCAGCATGGCACGGCAAAGTATATTTCTGAAGGCAAAAAGACATGAATAAGTAGCGCCTGAGATCGAATAAAGAGAACAAGACCAGGTCATCAATCAAACAGCACAATGTTCTGAAAACGTCGAGTCTAGGACAAACTCATGCATTGACAGGGCCGGAATTGCGAAGCATCTTCCAATCATTGTGGGTGACGATGTTCGACTGCTCAGGACCGCTTCCTTGAGAAGGTCTTCGGAGTTCTGAAAACGGAGCGATTGCGACCATGCTTTCGAGAAGAGTTGAAGATACGTCTGTATTTCCAAGGGTCGACATGTTAGATCGGAGCATTAAGGACCTGGAGGCCAGAGCGATGCCAAGTGTAAACAGAGATGAGGTGGATGCGAAGCACATGGGAGCATATGCAGCCTACGCTCGAGGTTTGACACCGGGGCATGCGGAAGGTATGTCAGTATGACAATGGTTATGAAGTGTTGTCATGGCAACAGTTATGAAGCGTTGACAAGGCAACTGTTAGGATGTGTTGACAAGGCAACGGTTATGAAGGCAACCCACTGCACGACGGCTCAAGGTGTGACTTGGAGGGCGAGCATAGTCAGCTGTTAAGGTTTATATACTCATGTTCTGTAGCTTCTCTCATCTCGAAATAACAAGTCTTCTCACTTAGACACACCCGACTGTAAAGAGCGCCTGATAGTGGCCTCTAGAGCGGTGTATCTAATTTTAACTAGAAGCTGTCATCTCTGGCAAGACTCTCACTTCTGACTGCAATGTCTCAATACGGGGTGAAGTGGGTGGAGCTTCGTGTCCAAGCAGTATCTTGCTGCCTTCGGGTTTTGTATTGATCGCTGTGAGCTTGGCAAATGTTTCTGTCAGACCTTCGAGTTTAGATGCAACGTCGGCTTTTGTGAGCTTGGCGAAGCTGTCAATTACATTCGGGTTCGAAAAGGTGGCTGAGTATGCCACGCAGATCAAGAGAGTGAGAAAAACAACGAGGGGCATTTCATTGTTTGAATGTGCTGAGAGTGTCGTCTGGATGCAGACGTATCTAGAATACAGGGTGAGGGTGACTAATTGGGGTGAACGGAGATCAGTTTTTAGGTGGAAGACTCTCCACGGATGATAGTGACGCAGATGAAGTAGTCGTGGGAAGAGACACATGTCTCGAGCGTCGATGATGAGCTCCTCCATACAGTGACCTCGGAAGGAGCTAGGTTCTTGCCGGCGGCAGATATTGGAAGCACCGACGCTGCAAGCCTGAACGTTCTCATCCGTCATCCACTCAAGTTCAGCATTCATATCAAGACCCTACTCCCGAGTCTGCACACTTCTTGGTTCAGGAACGCCTGGTATTGTGTTCGGTCACAGGTCATCGTCGCTGACAAGTGTAGGTACGAGCTCAAGCGAAGTACGAGTGACAGGATCTCGACGACAAAAGCGTAAAAAAATAAAGATTGAAGGAAGAGTATGAGACAATCTATAGGGACTCTAAGTAAAAGGTCGTGAGGTACGAAGGTACGGGAAGTGCTACGCTTTCATTGCCGAAGTGAGTGTAATGCGTGGATCGAGAAGCAACTTTGCTACAGAAGATTTCCCGGTTGCCTTGATACGATCACTTAAAGTTCTGAAAGTTCTTGCGGGAGCCTGAGGCGGAAGGAGTTTCGGCGCTGCGTCCTCGCTTTCCCGCTGCTTGAATGTCCACCCAAGGGCTCCCCTCCATTTTCCTGATGGAATGGCGTGGAGCAGAAGGCAACCTTTCTTCAGCCTCAGAGGCTCTGTTAGCAGTTCCGGTCCGGATGGGTCTCAATTTTTGCATGTCTTCGATGAGGTCGTCAAGCTCTGATTCGGTAGCCTTTGCAGGCGCTTCAAGACGAGAAGACTCGGACGCTGCTTTTTCGGCCCCTTTTCCGAGGAAGTTTGGGGAGAAGGGAGCAGATTTGACAACAGCCGCGCTGATGAAAGCGGCGAGGAGGAGGGTGGCCGATGTAATCTTCATGGTCTGTGAAGAAGTTGAAGGCAATGGGGGGGGCTTGCTTCGGGGTGGGAGAGTGAACTAGAGGACCAATATTCGAGTGAATATATATGCTACGGCGTTGCTGGACCATGCAGCGAGGCTTCAACTGCAACTGCTTGGGAATCTTCGCTGAAAGTCTTTTTTGCCAGATGATATGCAAACCTAACCCAGTTTTTGGCTGGGCCGATCATTCCTGAGTGGGCAAGAGTCAACACAATAATTGAGGCCGAATGGGTTGAAGTTCTGGCAGGTGGGCTAGGTCGTCGCCATCGTGACTGATGGAAGGAGGACAGAACAAGGCTGGTTCCACTCCTCCTGTGTGAACTGAATACTATCCAATCATCGATGCTTGTATCATGAAGACCAAATGCTGCTGCGCTTGCTGTCGAAACATCGAAGTGTTCAAATAGATATGTTGTGGCAGTAACAGCGCTATGGTCATACGGAAAAATCCGTTGCAATGGTCCGACCAATGATTTGCTCCCACCATCGACATGCAAGAGCCTCCCACTGTTGCTTCTGAACTTTTTTTCCGAAAGCCGAGAGGGTGTCCTCTACCTGACCGACGAGTGACCTCGTCCAAGGCTGGGTGAGCCCGCTAGACCCCATCTCGTTACTTCCTTCTGTTGTCAAAACGTGTTCTCAGGTGAAGCACTGTTCTTGGCTCCTAAGACGGTCGCTCAACCCACTCGCAGCTGTTTGTGTGGGCTGGAAAATCACAATCGAGTTGGTCAAAGAGCGAGAGTCATCAGGCATTCAGTGCAGCAGGAATGTGGCTACAATCTCAGAGTGACGTGAACACAACTGTGACGAGGGCTGCGAGCAAGGCGTTTAGGCATGCCTACCAGTATTGGATGCCATCCAATCAGAGATCCAGAGTGTCTTTTTTGACTCGATCTTCGCTTGGAGGATCGAAAGAGAGCTTGCGTTGAGCTTCAGACTTTTGTCTGGCTCTTATTATGTCAAGTCTGGCCTTGATAAGCTCTGTAGGCGGAACTCTTGTGTGCGAAGAAGAGGCCCCTGTGCCAACCACTGTTCGCTGTGTCCTGATGCGGGGTAGCAGCCTGAGCTCGGCTCTGAGACTTTCGTCTGCCTCCTTGAAAATTTTTTCGAACCTGTCGGCAGGCGGAACATTCGCTGGGTTAACCGCTGAACATCCGAAAACGAGGAAGAGTAGCTGAGTGAGGATGCCCAGCTTCATCGTTATGGCGTGAGAATTTGAAGGGCAATGAGGGAAAGCAAGGTGACAATGAGCAACAAAAGACATTGTGGTTGAACGTGGCGGATGTTTATATAGGATAGGCTTCACCTCGTCGCCTTCCTTCCTGGAATTGTGGTCATTAACGAGGGCCTTTAGCTACTCATGCCCGAAAGTCGGCAGACGTCCCATGCTCGTGATCTATCACGAGAGACAATGAGAGAGTGTACTCCCTCCCTCATAAACGGCCGTCTACTGGAGGTCGAGCACCCAAGTATCCAATTTTTACCTGGTAAAGAAGGAATGGAGCGTTTCTGATTCTTCACATGGAATGAAAGATGAGGATGGACCACGGAGGCTCTTCTGCACGCCTCAACGCAGTCGGCTCCTCGGCTTCGTCAAGAACGGTATGTTTCCCTCCAACTCCGCATAAACAAGGATGGAAAGCGACGGTCAACATGTCGAGCAGACTGAGCCTAATTTTTCGAGTTGATGTTCGATCTATTCAGCACACAAAAGCCTGAAAATTAACATCGCTAACGCGCGAGAGGCTGCAATGCTGTCGGCAAGGA